GATAGTGCTGCTATAAACATTGGGGTACATGTGCCCCTTTGAAAGAGCACACCTGTATCCCTTCTTCAAGGACACTTAAATTTCAGTTCTGACCTTTATATGGTCTTTCTTTAATCATTTCAAATATTTGGTAGCAATTTGCTTGACTGTTTTAGGTGTAGGAGCAATGACTGATGGCTTCATCCCTCACTGTTTTTCTGTTTCTTGAAGAGATAAACACCTTGAAGGAGTTGTGTAACAGCTTCAGTCATCACTCATGTTCACTGGAGGGCAGTGCTGTCAATAAGCAAGTTCTGGATTCATTTTATTTTGCATTGCATGTGTTAGTTATTAGTTGGAGTCAAAAGCTAATATGGAAAAATTTTTTTTTTCTTTAAAGACTGGAATATGTTTCAGGTATGCTGTACCACACTTACCCTAAAACAGTGATTCTCAAACTTCTATATGTATATGAATCACCATTGACCTGTGCCATCCAATAAAGTACCCACTAACCATATGGCAATGGGGCACTTGAAATGTGGACAGTCAAACCGAGATATGCTGTGACTGTAAAATACACACTGGATTGCAAGGACTGAGTACAAAAAAGGAATGGAAAATATCTCAATAACTTGTGTTGATCAGATGTTGAAATGAAAATATTTTAGTTATATTGGGTTAAATAAAATGCATTAGAATTAATTATATCCAAATCTTTTTATTTTTTACAATGTGGCTACTATAATATTCAAAGTTACATATGCAATTCTCATTTGTGGTTCATGTTATATTCCTGTTGAACAGCATTGGCTCATATGGTTGTTTAAAAATGTTTCCTGGGTTGGGGTGCTTGGGTGGCTCAGTCGGTTGAGCATCCAACTCTTGATTTTGGCTCAGGTCATGATTCCAGGGACGGGATGGAGACCCTGCACTCAGCCCCACATCAAGCTCATGCTCCGCATGGAGACTGCTTAAGATTCTCCCTCTTCTCTCCCTCTCCCCCACTTGTCAGTTGTCTCTCTCATTAAAAAAAAAAAAAAGTTCCCTGGGTCCCATTTTTAGAGATTCTGCTTTGGTTGTTGCACATTAGGGCCCAAAAATCTGATATTTTTTAGCTCTCCAAGTAATTCAATTGATAAGTCATGGTAGGGAATTATTGTTTTGTACTGCTTTTGATGGTCTTCAACACAGCAGTGATTCAAAGATAACACGGAGAAATAGTTTTCAATTTTGATTGTGTAATAACTGCCATCCCATAAAGTAATATGCATGTTTTTCAATTAGCAAAACTCTTCAATATATCATCACAACATGACTATTTTGTGGTAGTGGAAGGATGGTACAAACAATTAAGCAGTATCTATCACAAACTTAAGTGCACATAACCTTTGACTCACCTTTAGAAATTGATCTTGCAGATCTTCCAACAAGATCCCTATAATATATCTGTAATTCGCTTCAGCACAATTTGAAATAGTGAAAAACCGGAAACTGAGGAAATAAATTATGATATATCCAACTGAATACTATGCAGGCTATAAACAAGAATAAGTTCATTTATAAGTACTGGTATGAAAAAATGTTTAGATTTATGAGGGGGCAAGAAAGTTGCAGAAAAGTATGCAGATCTTACCTGTACATATAAAATATTAAAAAATATGTATTTGTATTTGCATAGAAATATTTGTATATGCATATACAATTCAAAAGTTTCCAAAACTGTTAATAGTGGTTACTGCTAACAGTGAGGAGATTCCCAGTGATATGGAAAGGATCTTTTTGCTTTTTATATCCTTTTGTACTGTTTTAGTTTTTTTTACTATGACCAACATGTAAATTTACATTTACATTACAAAATACTGTTAAAATATCTATGTAATACCTAGCCAAGTAAATATTTCATCACTTAGGTTCCTGTTACAGAAATTTGATTTACACTATTATCCTTTAAGCTGCAATTTGGTCTTCATTTTAATTTTCTAAAAGGCCACCACATATATTCATTTATTCATTCAACCAATAGTTACAGACAACCTACTTTATGCTGGACAGAACACTGTTCTAAGGCCGAATAATAAAAAGTGGACACAAAACCATGTGTTCCTTAGACATGGGGAGGACAATAAACAAACCCAGACATAAATAATAATTAGTAATGAGTGCCATGAAGGCCTGAGTTTTCAAATGCTAGAATGTTCAAATGTCATGTGTGCTTGTGTGTGTATACACATGTATTCACTTACACATATTAATACAATCTTGGCTACTGAATTTTTTAAGAGTCGTTTGTATATAGTATTCTGGGATATTTCTCAAACTAAATTTTCTCTTGCATTCATTATAACGAACTCGGCCAAACAAATTAAAAATAGCAAAGCTTTTCAGTTGTGTCAATTTAGACAAATTACTTAGCTGCTTTAGGACTCAATTTTCTCCTCCACCAAACGGGGTATTTACCTCTCGGGTTGGCTGCGTCGGGGAGAACTCTAAGCGCAGACCACATAACGCAACAGCAGCGCCTGGCACAATGAAGAACAGGGATGGGGTGGGGCGGGTAGGGCGCGGACGCCCGCACTGGGGCGCAACTGGGCCGCGCGCGGCGCGGCGGGCCGGCTGTCCCGCAGAGGCGCGGTATTCTCGCCATGGACCGCAGGAGAAAGGCGGTGCTTTCACATACTTTTTTCATCTAAGCACTTCTGCACGCCAATTTATCTTTCTGTGAGTGCGGAGACCAGTGCCCGCCAGCTCCTGCGGCGCCCGCTGGGCGTCAACTCCCGCCGCGACAAGTCAGCCCGATTTTTCGAGATGCTCAAATGCTGAGGCCGTCCTGCGCTACAAAACTCAAGCCCACTCCCGGCCCCAAGCCGGCCAATCTGTTCAGGGCACATTTGGCCCGGGGCAGGCGGTAGACTCGCCTCCAACTGCGGCTGTTAGTTTGAATTCTGGCGCCACTCCCACGCCACGTAGAGCTATACTCGGAAGCGACGGATCTTCGAGCGCAGCGGGCGCGCACCGGGGACTGGGCGGGCGTGCAGCGGGAGGGCGACGCGCGCACCACGCCCCGGAAGCAGCCCCCGAAAGAAAAGAGCCGCCGCGCGCGCTCCCGCTCTCTCCCCTCAGGAAACGGCCACGCCCCCGTCATCTCCCGAGTCCAATAGAAGCGAGAGGGTGGGGCGGCCTCGGTCTGACTCAGGGGAGGCTATAAAGGGAACTGCTGGCAGCGCAGCTCGGTCTTTTACGTCTGGATTTGGGAGGCGTTGTGTCGTTTTCGGTGAGTGGGCGCTGTGGGCGAGGACCCGCGCGGGCCGTATTGGAATAGACTGAGGTTCGCTGCAGTATTGTGGGAAGATTAGAGATTTAAGTTTAGGGTGCTGTGTGTAGAAAACTTGCACGTGGAAAACACGCAGCCGGGCCGCCACGTGTCCTGAGTGGTAGTGGTGGCGGCAGGCTTCGAGCTTAGGCGTGTGGAGGCTGGTGCTGATGGCCACGAGCGCTGTGCGCGGCCTGCTTGCTAAACGCCGACATCCGGCTGGCCAAGCCTGAGCGGCGGCGGGAAAACCATATTCCCGGTATTTGGGGCAGGGAGTTTTACGTTGAGCAAGAGGCCTTTAAGAAGGAGAGTGTCGTTTTCTCGTCGCGGATCAAAAGGTCATTTGAAAATGGGCAGCCCTGACGTTGCCTGAGATTGAGTTGTATTGTGCCCAGGTGGCGCTGTGTGCAAACCAGATTAGTGATTGGGAAGATTTTAGTACTGAAAACCTTCAACTGTCATTCTGTAAGAATGCTTAGTTTTAAATATTTTGGTCCCCTTCAGGAACAATGGCTCTCAGTGGCATAACGGAGCTGTTACCTGGAGATGTTCACGTAAGTACTGTTGAGCTTAGTTTTTAAACTGAAGAAGTAAACCTGTTGATTTACAGGAAAAGATGGTGCATCATTTGAAATTTGCTTCCTACTAGATACAAAGGAAAACTAGAAAATACGTGAGGGAATATTTCCTGGGAAATTACTTGGTTGGAACCTGACCATTTTACCCAGGTATGTGTTGGGCTAATAATTTGATTGTTGGGCTACTTTGATTCAGTGCGATTAGTCCATATGTAGATTAAAATGAAAATTTTTTTTGTCCTTGAACAGCATCCTGGGAGTTGATGAATACTAACAGACTTACAAATGTCACTGGCTAGCAATGTAATTTTTAAAGTAAGTTGTGTGACTTACAAGATCAACTGTAGTGTTTCTAATATAGTGCTTACCTCTTAAAGTTGCTTTGGCTTACGGTAAATTTCACTGTAACATAATTTAGTGGATTATGGTCTTATCAATGATGAAATCTATCCCGAAGCTGACCACCTGAAGAAAAACATACGGATTCGGCTTCTGAGATAAGACTGAAGTTTTTATAGTCTGGATTTTATAACTGAGAGGGTTCTGTTAGGTTATAAATCTTGTAGGGGGAGAACTGCTACCTCAAAATGTGTTGTGGGTTTTTTTTTTTCTCTGCCAACAGTGAGGGGTCGCTGTCTTTCCACTGAAAGAGGCCAGTTTGCTGTGACCTTCCTAAGATGTAACCCGTTTCTGTGAGTAGAGATTTTTTTCCCTTAACAGTTCATCAGTACTTTGTCCTTGGTCTTAATCCATGATGATCTTATCCCGAACCTGAATATCTGTTGAGAAAACTTATACGGATCTGGCTTCTGAGATAGACCATTATAAGGACAATGATATTTTTTAAAAATTCTTTGGCTCTTTTGATGTTGGTAGTCTTGTAAATCTCAAATGTTTTTCCTTTTCTAGGGTTAATACCACCAGATTTACTTGTGAAAAATCGATAAGGAAAAGCTCTTCATTTAACTTATTTATTATATTATGATGGTAAAGAAAATACAAATCAAGACAATATTTTATTTCTGTAAACAGGTTATGAAACCATCAGATTAAATGTAGTATTTTGTAAGATTTAAGCCATTACTTTTTATGTCATACTGCCCTAGAGAATCCTAACCTGTTAAGCAGATTACTTTGTAGATCTATTTCTATTTTAAATACAGGCATGCAAAGGAAGGTACATATTTTTAATGGAGAAGTCTTTGATTTCAGTTAACCAGACTTGTAATCAGCTTATTGTGAATGTTTCACCTTTGGCCACCTGTTTGAATTTAAAATCTACAATTGTAATTAAAGCTGAGTGAAAATTTACACTGAATATTGTGGAAAAGTCCTTAGATTTTTATGGAGAGATGATTCATTTTGGCAGTATCACACGGTACAGATCATGTTGGGTTTTGTAGCGTACTGAATATTACTGGATTAGTGGTGAGCAAAACGGAAAGACTGAGTCTATTACTGGGGGAGGGGAAAATACCAGGTATTACTGGTTCTAATTACTGAATTCTGGAATGTTTGGTCCTAATGAATTATAGTTTGAAAGGATGCTTAAGATGGAAAATGTGAGGGACACCTTGGTGGCTCAGTAAAACATCTCAGCTCCTCCATGCTGGGCATGAAACCTACTTTAAAAAAAAAAGATGGGAAAATGTGGAATGCTGAAAATGAAGAGAGCACAGCATGACAACGGGTCATGGGGGAAGTTCACTGATAAAACCAAACATTGCATAGAATGGATTTAGTGTAGACAGTAATAGCATCTGATCTAACCAAGATGGTTTGGCCCCATGCATGATCATTTTCCCTAAATAGCTACATGAATAAATTGTTGCTAAGCCTATACTTCAGTGTTAGTCAAAAGAATATTCTTGTCAGCTTATGATTATGAACTACCTTTTTTCCTAAAATGTTTTCTTAGTGAAAATGCAACGTTGGACCCATGTAGTTTAAGAGGCTCAGTGACAACCATGCCATTTAGTGGGTAGGTACATAGTAGATTTGCTCACGTATTGCAATGGTGTACAAAATGCACCTTGGAAAATGTATATTGAAGCCATATTAAAATAGGTATTAATGCTGTCAGACTTCAAATAATCTGGGTCTCCACACACTTATATGGTAGGTGCAAGGAATTCCACAGTGGCCATAAGTCATGAGAACGTGTAGAATGAACTGTAAGTCTGCAGGAAATAACCATGCTTTACATGGATTATTCATAGGAAGCAAGAGCTCCCTAAACTGAGACACCAAGGTGTGGTCCCCTTAATGCAAAGGCCTTAAGGCTTGCTAAAATCCAGCAAAGGGAAAAGCCACTTGGCATAACAGATTACGTGTGTAATGAGATTTTGCTATATTAACAAAAGAAAAGTAATTGGGGTCTGTACAGCCTTTTCAAGAAACTCTACCCGGGGCGCCTGGGTGGCGCAGTCGGTTATGTGTCCGACTTCAGCCAGGTCATGATCTCGCGGTCCGTGAGTTCGAGCCCCGCATCAGGCTCTGGGCTGATGGCTCAGCCTGGAGCCTGTTTCCGATTCTGTGTCTCCCTCTCTCTGCTCCTCCCCCGTTCATGCTCTGTCTCTCTCTGTCCCAAAAATAAACAAACGTTGAAAAAAAAAAAATTAAAAAAAAAAAAAAAAAAGAAACTGTCTACCCTTTTTGACAAAGCTGGCACCTCACTTCAAAACAAGTTGTGAAATAGATAAAATTTGCTTTGGAGCACTCTGACCTCTTCCTGCAATTTCTATTGTTGCTCCTTACCCTCTCAATTGATCTGGTAATATGTCACATGTCTTTATTATAATGTGCATTTTATGGATTGCAGTGTTACTGGGCTCTGCTAAGGAGGTTAGAAGTAAAACACTATGTCCTCATTTTGTTAATAGTGACATGAAATGCCAAGAAAACCAAAGGCAGGCTATAAAGAAAGTGAGAAAAAATGTCTTGAGATTGAACAAGTGGATTTGAGTCAAAACTATCTCAGATGAGATGTGAGAAAGATAACATTTTTGGCATAAACACTTGGAGCAAAGATTATATGCTCCAGGACCTCAGAATGATGAATTTGAAATTTAGGTATCAATTGTGTGGTTAGATGTAGGACAAACAAGGTAGAAGATAGGCTGAAATGTTTTGGGGTGACAGTAAAAACCTATGGTTATTTGAATTCCCTAAAACATTTTTTTCAGGTGGAAGGCACATAGCAGAAAATCACATTTAGTCCCTTTGACTCTATACAGAGTGTACACTTGAACAAGTAAGTCAGGTCCAAAAAGGTACGCTTTAGTGGAATTAAGCTTGAAAGCTCAACATGTTATAATTGACATCAGCTGCCATTAAAATTACTAATTGTTTCAAACCTGTAATATACCTAAGTGGTATTTTTCATTCATACAACGTGGTGTGGACTGTCATTCTACTAGCCTTCTGTTTTATGAATGTTAACATACCAGGTATTCCTTTCAAGTCCCTGGCTAAGGGACTTAACCCTCTGAGCATATGTGCAATTTAATAGAGAACTTAATGGAGACAAAGCCTTCAAGACCTGAGGAATAAAAGACTACGGCTATAATAGACTGGGATCTGCTTCATTAGGACTGATACCAGAAGTTGAAAGCAAAACCTACATGTGTCTGGCTTTAGTGGCTTTAACCAATAGGAATGCTTTATGCCTTCCATCACGCTTCCAGGTTATCTTCAAATACAGTAGGCTCAAACCTACCATTTGGTGCTTTCTAAAATTCTGTTGCCAGAAATCTAGTATCAACTGCACTTCCCAATCAAGTGCTCTCTGAATTGATAATACACTTCATAAATCCTTAACTGTTTACCCATCCTGTGTGGAATCTTGGTTGTGCTCAGGTTTTTAACACCCAATTTCCCAGTTAGAATATTTATTTGAATTCCAGTCTTCTAGGATAGTCTGCTTATCTTTTGCTGGTCCTTCCTCCCTTTAGGTGGGGACTCTCTTATCTTTCCTCCCAAAAGCTTGGTTCTGGATCCAAGTAGCACTCACAGCATAGTATAGTAATTACAATTGCCTGACTGAATATTGCCACTGCCTCTGGCCTTGCTGCACCTCACTGATTCTACTTATTTGGGTATGTATGAAGATCAGATCAAAGCACAAGTTTGCCATGAGGTGCTGGAAGGTTTATGGACCATCTTGGGGTGGAGGAGAGGGTATCTTTTCAAAATGACAATCGAACTCCTTGGTCTCATTCTTACAAGACCTGGCCTCTTCCCCTTATTACTAGTCCACTGCTAGAGTCCTGTCATGCCATGTGGCTGAGTTACAACAAAATGAGTTAATGTCATTTAAGTGAGATGCCTGAGTACACTATAATCGAACCTTTTTGGAAACTTAATTATGCCCATTCAGTTGATTCTAATTCTTTTCAAAATAGTAATAATGTAAAAAGCATTTAAGAATACTCAGAAATTAGCATTTGAGGAAAATAACATTTACACATATAATGTGTTACTTAGGTCAGTAAACTTTTGACATATCCTTGCCTCCTAACTATATAAAGTATAATTGTACATTTTTAAATGTACAGTTTGATGAGTTTTTCCTTTGATACACACCCGTGAAAACATAAGTTTTAGAGAAGTACAGAGTTGAGAGATCTGAGCTGGAAAAATAAAATTGGGAATCATCCACATGTGGATGGTGTATTTAAAGCCATAAGATTACATGAGATCACCAAAGGAGTGAATATAGATAAAAGGAGTGGTCCAAGAGTTGAGTCCTGGAACATTCTAAGAGTAGGGGATTCTGGGTTTAGTTAAAATCCTGGAGATTATTTTGTGCCTGGGACAAAAATTGAGAAGCAGAAATCTATTGTCAAGTCCAACTGCTATATCAAGAAAAGGAACTAGATGGAAAATCAAGGAGTTTTGGAATAAAAGCAAGGGTGAAAACTAAGCAAATAATTGGGCTATAGGGCTGAAGATAGCCTTGATTTAATGCAGAGCCTTAGCATAGAAATTGAAGGAGTTAATATCTGAGAAAGACTTTGTAAATTATCGGGCAAAGTAGTCTTCAGGAAAGAATAAGATAAGGAATTTAGGAAGTATGATAAGGGTTTTCATCAGACACTGCAGACTTAGAGAAGTGGAGTTAGCTACAGACAAGTTAGAGGTTTGTCTTACAGAGCCAAAGTGCCTGCTGAGGCTAAAAACTACCGATTTTAATAGTTAATCAGCATAATTATTCACTGTTCTATGGGACTTATCTGCCTGGGAGCAGGAAGCAGATCAGTGGATTCATCCAAAATTAGGAATAAAGTGGCCAGGAAGAGCAAAACAATAACAAGCCAAGAGAATTGATTTGGTAAAAGTGTTATTAAAATTATTAACCTTGAGATCCAGTCTGATTAGGGAAAAACACAAAACAAGTGAGGGTCCCAAGTGAGACAAAGATCATATGTACCATGAAAACTTACTGTTGAAAACTAGGTAAAATAAGGCCCTCTCCAGTTATACCATAAAATGACCCATAGTGTGTTGTATTCTGATTGTTGGTTTCTCTCTCTCTGGCCCTAGAATGTGAATCCTTTACAAAAATAAACTGTGCCATTTAATCTCAAATTTTGCCTAGAACAATGTAATGACTCCCATAAGAAATTGTCTAAATGGAATTCAATTTGTGTATCTAAGGTGGGCAACAATGATGTGATTTAACCTCTCCAAAAGGGGTAAAAGAAATAAAAGTTGGAAGGTGTTTTGGACAAATACTTGTGTTCCCCCAAATCCATATGTTGAAGCCCTAACCCTAGTGTGGCTATATTTGTAGACAGAGCTCAAAAGAAGTTAACTGAGTTTAAATAAGCTCATAAGGGTAAGGCTCTGATCTGGGAGGAGGAGTGTCCTTATAAAAAAAGACACCAGAGAACTCACTCTCTCCCTCTCCCCTAGCCTTTCTTCCCACAAAGAAGAGGTCACATGAGCACACAGTGTGATGGTGACC